CCCTCCGCGCCTTCCAGCCCCTGCGCCGCTTTCCGCTAACGTTCAACAGCCTCGCGACCCTTGGGACACCATCGACTGGGGCAATGAGCCCTCAACCAAACGTCGCACAATCTTCGGACCTGACCCTGAACCGCGAGGACCCACTCTCATCCCCGGAACAATCCCTGGAACCAGCACTCCCCTCTCCGTAATTCTCGACAGGTTCTTGCGCTGATACTAACGGCGGCGAATGAAGTAGTAGTAGAAGACAAGACGGCATCGAAACCCCCTACAGTAACTGAAGAAGACCTCGAAGTGGTGCGCACGCGCTACATGCGTACCTCCGCACGCCGCGCAAGCAACGACCTATGGCATCAGCGCCTCGGTCACCCTTCACGCATCACGCTCAACAACAACATCGAGGCATGAGAATTCGCGCTCCGGTTACGACCAATGACACCCGTGTTGTTTTCCCTGAAGATGGTCTTCCACCTCACAATGGTGCCAGTGTAACGTTGGGGGCAGCATCACCTGCCCTAACGGCCAAAAGGGGTCCAACAAACCAGCTGTTTAACATTACAGTCAAGGAAAATAGCAGTTATCGTGGCGATACTTAACTGGTTCTTCCACTTTGCTTCCCTGCTTGGGTTGCCCTCTAAATCTTGTTCTTTTTTTCTCTTTGTTCTCTATTATTTGGTTCTATGCTATTTGGCCTCGATTACTCCGTTCTCTCCACCATTTGCCGTCTATTGTTGGGTTCTGTCTCCTCTTTGCCGTCTATTGCTAGGTTCTCTCTGCTCTTTGCCGTCCATTGTTGGGTTCTCTCTGCTCTTTGGCGTCAATTGCTGGGTTCTTTCTACTCTTTGCCGTCTATTGCTTGGTTCTCTCTGCCCTTTGCCGTCTATTGCTTGGTTCTCTCTTCCCTTTGCCGTCTATTGCTGGGTTCTCTTTGGCATGAGTTGCCTGCCTTTCTCTTTTCTTTAGCTTATGTTGCCTGGTTATCACTGTTATGATATTTGGCCCATGCTGGCTATCACTATCTATGTTTTATGGCACAAGAAACAAAATGTTTTGTTAATTATGTAGTTTGTTGTTGCTTGTTTTGGCTGACTGCTCAAAAGAAAACGGTTCTTTAATGCCACTTGCTATAAATGCTGGTTGATTTAGGTGTGCTAATACCAGCTGCTAGATATGGAAAAGTACCAATAAGTTGCTTCACAAATTTAAATGCCGCACTTTTAGATTTTTTTTCGCTTGGGAGTAATATATTTTGTAGAGAAAATATTTAGTGGTATGAGTGCTACTAAGAATATGAAATAAATATGGACTGTTACGAGCAGTCTTGTTCAATTTGACCAGAATTGGTTTCTATCAAAATTTATATAACACAATACAATTTGATGAGTAGATCTGTGTTAATTACACGAGATGGTTACTCCTTGCGCATATCAGACTATACCAAACTTTTCTGTACTGAGTGATTGCATCGAATGCATTCCAAATTCAAATTTCTCCCTCGCCGCCTTATCGCCAACCTCATGGGATGTGGTTGCTCGAAGATTTTCCGGAAGGATGCTGTCAGTGGTAGAGGAAAGCTAACCGATGTGCACCACGTGTGCATCAATCAATCTGACATGAAATTGTGTCAGGGGCACAGTTGGGTTGAGTTTGGGTATCCCGGATAATATGCATTACAGTCGGAAATTTTAGAAACATTATGTCGCTTGTCCGTTTTGTGATGCCGACGGTAGCCAAAAGGAGTCTACACTTCATATTGACTGTGTCCAAAATATTACGGCGGATCCTTTTCCTTCACACCTGCTGCAGAAGTCTCCCGCGCGAAACATTCAAAAACTGCGCTTCGTCCGGATAGACCCCAGCACAGTTTAGCGGCTGCTATGCACTCCATCCCGGTGGCGAAAGTCGTCTGATCCCGGTAGGCTCGAGTTACGCTTTTGTCATTTTCTCGCGAAAACTTTGCGGCGACCTGTGTGGCGGGCGGAGACCAGCGGAAGCCTCTGTTTTGGCGACTCCCTCTCGCCTGTCGTCGCCTCCCTCCAGCAAGTGCATGCAGTTTCTCCGAACCCAAGTCAACCCTGCGAGCGACATTCCTAAGGCCATCCCAGTCACCTCTGCCAAGTTCGAGTTGCTTGATTCATTTCACTGATTTTCTCTAGTCAGCGTTAGCTCTAGTCAGCCATGGCTTTCACAGCTCGCCATGGCTGCTGTCGAAATTCCTCAGAGATGTAGTTTATTACGCTTATATCATATTATTCAGAAGATTTATGACAGTAATAGCTTATCTCGATAAGTATGTCCCAGTGAGAACTGGTAGTCAGCCGTCAGCATATACCGTCTGATAGGCTGAACGTTAAAACCCGTGGGCCAAGAAGACCAAAATTGGTTCATCCTTCCTAGTGTTGGTTGGATGTCCCAAAAACGCCTGTGATTTTCCCGAGTTCCAAGACCTCCCCCAACATTTTCGACAGTCGCGGGCAAATCCCGTCCTCACTCCCAACCAACCTTCCTATGCTTGAATTACTTGGCCTGCGGGTTTTAACTGCTTGCCTCTTAGCTTTTAACCGCGGTTCTTATAGTTCGTAACCTCCTAGAAACTCCACCGTTTTAGTTTCCGGGAACGCTACTTACGTTAAATTTCAGCATCTAGATTCTGATAAGCTGGAGTATTAACCGATATTTTTCAACTCATCAACATGATCCCTGACGAGTCTTTCCTGACAAGGGTTCCACCGCTCTAGTTGAAGGCTATCTCGCTTCCGTTCCGTCGTAAGCGTCGTTCCGGAATAACATCCAACTACTCGCCGATGGCTGTGGTCGCCGATAGCCGAGCGTTGAGTCAAGCCACCTGAACCTTGCATAATACATGAAGCAGCGCCGTCGGCGATCAAAGTTTACCACAATAAGCGGTATCAAGATTTACATACGAGCCGCTTCTGCTAGCATCTTCAGGCATCACCGGAAGCACTTCAGTCTTCTGACATCATTTGCCAACAGACGGTTTTCACGTCAGAACGGCGCCGTAATGGTCTACGCCGAGTATCGTCGTCAGCAACAAGAGAAGCACTTGGGGACGACGGAAGCAGATGTTTGCGATAGGTCGTTTTTACTGATGTCGGACTTGCTGGCGGAACTCGAATCTCTGCAATGATAGCATCTGCTCATCTCTAAAGCTAACTGTGCCTGCATATAGTGATATACTGACAAGCGATTCACGGCGCTCTTCGAGAATGGTTCGACCAGTGAATTTCAAGTATCACGGCGACCGGCATCCGGCGTCACGGCGACACACTGACTCACGACGTGACAGAGACAGAGACTAGTGGGTTGATACTCGGCGGAGTCCGAGCAACGGGGTGCAACGGCGTCGTCGGTGTTGACCTGACGGAGCGGCGAAAGACGAGCGGACGAGCAATGATAGCGGCGATTGGCGATACGGCGAGCAGCGAATGGCGAACGGCTAGCGACGAACAGTGAGCGGCTGGCAACGTGCGGCGATCGTCTAGTAGCGGATTTTGAACCAAGAGCAACCATGCGGATGATGGCGACCAACCGCGAACGACGTTCCGCATGCGACGTTCCGCTTGCGACGTTCCGCGTGCGACGTTCTGCGTGCGACGTTCCGCGTGCGACGTTCTGCGTGCGACGTTTTGCGGATTTGATGGCGACATACTTCATGCGGCGATGTCCTGATGATGGCGACTTCCGCATGCGACCGTGTCCGGAGACGGTGACAAACTGCGTGCGACCTTCCGTGTGCGACGTTGTGCGGATGTTGGCGACATACTGCATGCGACGATGTGCGGAAGATGGCGACGAGCCGCGTGCGACGTTCCTTGTGCGACGATGTGCGGACAATGACGACTTACCGCGATTGACCGTGTGCTGAAGACGGCGGCCAACCGCGTGCGACGGTGTGCGGAAGATGGCGACTTTAACGAGTGCGACGTTCCGCATGCGGCGCCGTGCAGATGCTGGCGACATGGCGCATGCGACGATGTGCGACAAACGGCAGGCGACGAACCGCGTGCGACGGGTGCGGATGATGGCGATTTACCGCGTGCGACGTTCAGGGTGCCGGCGTCGTGCGGATCCTGGCGACATGGCGCATGCGACGATGTGCGAAGAACCCCGTGCGACATTTCCCGTGCGACGGTGTGCGGATGATGGCGAATTTCGACGCGCGACTGTGTGCGGAAGCTGGCGATTTACCGCGCGCGACCATGTACGGAAGATGGCGATCACCTGCGTGCGACCTTCTGCGTGCGACGGTGTGCGGATGCTGGCGACTTACCGCGTGCGACGATGTGCGACGAACGGCGACTAATTGCGTGCGAGGGCGCGCGATGATGTGCGAATGATCAGCATCAACACTCACCTGAGCTAAGTCTCCTCTCCGCACTCCTCTCTTCAATCCTCCCTCACTGTCCCCATCCGTCGTTTTTACTGGTGGTGTGGCTTAGGGTCGCAGTGCATTCATACCATGGGTGTGAGTGACAGTTCCCCCTCGCTGCGCTAGCTCGCTTCCCAATCGTGCCTCTGGTCCACTGTCGCCATGCGCCTTCCCCATCCCACCCCTCCCCACCCATTCACTTGTCGCTCCGTTGTATTGTGCTCACACTCTTCTCTCTTGATCGCCGCGAGTTGCTTTCTTGATTTCGCCCGCTCTTGCTCTCTGCCGTGCTCTCTGCCCTCCTGCTCTCTGCCACTTGTTCTTGCTCTCACTGCCAATCTGTCTCTGCCATTCTGTCTCTGCCTTATTGCTCCTCGTGCAGAGCCAGCAGAGGGCGGCAGTGGGATGACGCACGGCTGCCCGCCCTGCTGACCACTGCTCGCCTCTCAGGGAGCAGGGGAGTGTGCGCAAGAGCAAGGAGGCAAGGGGAGCGCGCAATGGGAGAGCGCCAGGGGAGCGCGCAAGGGGAGCGCGCAAGGGGAGCGCGCAAGGGGAGCGCGCAAGGGGAGCAAGGAGGCAAGGGGAGCACACGCAAGAGGAGCACGCCTGCATGCTCCTTCGACCCTCTTCAATCCTGCTAAGCTATCCCACTGAATTCACACTCTGCACGCACTCACCCACTCACTCGCTTGCACTCGTGCCTTCCACTGCTTGCTTGCGCTCGCTCCCTCCTCCTCCTCTCGCCGCTCTCACGGGCGGCACCAAGGGACCCTCCCCAGGTGTGTGACAGCAGGCGACTGCCAGCGTAAGTGGTAACGTCAGGTGTGCTAAGGTACGGTACTGTCCTTGGTGCCCGCCCTGCAGCTGCCACCGCCGCCGCCGCTGCCACCGCCACTCACGCCACTCACGCCACGTACGCACTCTCACTGCTTGCATCCTTCCATTATTCCTTGCTTGCATGCTTTCCGTTTTTCTGTTCTCTGACTTGCTAACGCCGTTCTAATCGCCTTCCCTCTCACCTCCCTTCTCTGCTCCGTGCACTTGTTCCCCTCTTCGCCTCTCCTCCTGCCAGCTTCCCTCTGCCTACACCCCTCTGCCAGCACACCTACAGGCCGGCAGCAGCAGAAGGCATGGAGGAGCAGTGGGAGCAGCGTGGCGAGCGGGAGAGGCGAGTGGTGGGATGACGCACGGCCTGGGCTGGCCCTGCTGACCACTGCGCTCGCCCAACCTCCCGGCAGCACCAGCGCGACCGACCGTGGCGTCTCTGAGTGGCGCTGCGGCAGCAGGGGGAGTGTGGCGGCAAGGAGAGGCGCATGGCCGTGTGGGTGCTGCACGCATGCAAGGGGAGCACGCCTGCATGCTCCTTCGACCCTCTTCAATCCGGCTAAGCTATCTCACTCAATTCGCACTGTGCACGCACCACTCACTCACTCGCTCGCGCTCGTGCCTTGCGCTGCTTGCTTGCGCTCGCTCCCTCCTCCTCCTCTCGCCGCTCTCACGGGCGGCACCAAGGGACCCTCCCCAGGTGTGTGACAGCAGGCGACTGCCAGCGTAAGTGGTAACGTCAGGTGTGCTAAGGTACGGTACTGTCCTTGGTGCCCGCCCTGCAGCTGCCACCGCCGCCGCCGCTGCCACCGCCACTCATGCCACTCACGCACTCTCACTGCTTGCATCCTTCCATTATTCCTTGCTTGCATGCTTTCCGGTTTTATGTTCTCTGACTTGCTAACGCCGTTCTAATCGCCTTCCCTCTCACCTCCCTTCTCTGCTCCGTGCACTTGTTCCCCTCTTCGCCTCTCCTCCTGCCAGCTTCCCTCTGCCTACACCCCTCTGCCAGCACACCTACAGGCCGGCAGCAGCAGAAGGCATGGAGGAGCAGTGGGAGCAGCGTGGCGAGCAGGAGAGGCGAGTGGTGGGATGACGCACGGCCTGGGCTGGCCCTGCTGACCACTGCGCTCGCCCAACCTCCCGGCAGCACCAGCGCGACCGACCGTGGCGTCTCTGAGTGGCGCTGCGGCAGCAGGGGGAGTGTGGCGGCAAGGAGAGGCGCATGGCCGTGTGGGTGCTGCACGCAAGCAAGGGGAGCACGCCTGCATGCTCCTTCGACCCTCTTCAATCCGGCTAAGCTATCTCACACAATTCGCACTCTGCACGCACCACTCACTCGCTCGCACTCGTGCCTTGCGCTGCTTGCTTGCGCTCGCTCCCTCCTCCTCCTCTCGCCGCTCTCACGGGCGGCACCAAGGGACCCTCCCCAGGTGTGTGACGGCAGGCGACTGCCAGCGTAAGTGGTAACATCAGGTGTGCTAAGGTACGGTACTGTCCTTGGTGCCCGCCCTGCAGCTGCCACCGCCGCCGCCGCTGCCACCGCCACGCACGCCACTCACGCACCCTCACTGCTTGCATTCTTCGTTTTTCCTTGCTCGCATGCTTTCCGTTTTCCGTTCTGTCACTTGCGTACGCCATGCTAATCGCCTTCCCTCTCACCTCCCTTCTCTGCTCCGTGCACTTGTTCCCCTCTTCGCCTCTCCTCCTGCCAGCTTCCCTCTGCCTACACCCCTCTGCCGGCACACCTACAGGCCGGCAGCAGCAGAAGGCATGGAGGAGCAGTGGGAGCAGCGTGGCGAGCGGGAGAGGCGAGTGGTGGGATGACGCACGGCCTGGGCTGGCCCTGCTGACCACTGCCCTCAACGGCGAGGCGAGGAGGGAGAGGTGCCGTTGCTGGCGAGCGCTCCTGCATGCAGCTTCGACCCCTCCTCAATAAGGCTAAGAAAATCTCCCTTCTCTTGTTATTTTCACACACTTTGCCGTCACTGCCAGCACCACCTCCACTCATGTTAATCACTGCCTTGATTCCCCCCGTGATAATCACTGCCTTGATTCCCCCCGTGTTAATCACTGCCTTGATTCCCCCCGTGTTAATCACTGCCTTGATCCCCCCCGTGTTAATCACTGCCTTGATTCCCCCCGTGTTAATCACTGCCTTGATTCCCCCCGTGTTAATCACTGCCTTGATTCCCCCCGTGTTAATCACTGCCTTGATTCCCCCCGTGTTAATCACTGCCTTGATTCCCCCCGTGTTAATCACTCCCTTGATTCCCCCCCGTGTTAATCACTGCCTTGATTCCCCCCGTGTTAATCACTGCCTTGATTCCCCCCCGTGTTAATCACTCCCTTGATTCCCCCCGTGTTAATCACTGCCTTGATTCCCCCCGTGTTAATCACTGCCTTGATTCCCCCCGTGTTAATCACTGCCTTGATTCCCCCCGTGTTAATCACTGCCTTGATTCCCCCCGTGTTAATCACTGCCTTGATCCCCCCCGTGTTAATCACTGCCTTGATTCCCCCCGTGTTAATCACTGCCTTGATTCCCCCCGTGTTAATCACTGCCTTGATTCCCCCCGTGTTAATCACTGCCTTGATTCCCCCCGTGTTAATCACTGCCTTGATCCCCCCCGTGTTAATCACTGCCTTGATTCTCCCCGTGTTAATCACTGCCTTGATTCCCCCCGTGTTAATCACTGCCTTGATTCTCCCCGTGTTAATCACTGCCTTGATTCCCCCCGTGTTAATCACTGCCTTGATTCCCCCCGTGTTAATCACTGCCTTGATTCCCCCCGTGTTCATCACTGCCTTGATTCCCCCCGTGTTAATCACTGCCTTGTTTCCACCCGTGTTAATCACTGCCTTGATTCTCCCCGTGTTAATCACTCCTTGATTCCCCCCCGTGTTAATCACTGCCTTGATTCCCCCCCGTGTTCATCACTGCCTTGATTCCCCCCGTGTTAATCACTGCCTTGATTCCCCCCGTGTTAATCACTGCCTTGATTCCCCCCGTGTTAATCACTGCCTTGATTCCCCCCGTGTTCATCACTGCCTTGATTCCCCCCGTGTTAATCACTGCCTTGTTTCCACCCGTGTTAATCACTGCCTTGATTCTCCCCGTGTTAATCACTCCTTGATTCCCCCCCGTGTTAATCACTGCCTTGATTCCCCCCCGTGTTCATCACTGCCTTGATTCCCCCCGTGTTAATCACTGCTTGATTCCCCCCGTGTTAATCACTGCCTTGATTCTCCCTGTGTTAATCACTCCTTGATTCCCCCCCGTGTTAATCACTGCCTTGATTCCCCCCCGTGTTCATCACTGCCTTGATTCCCCCCGTGTTAATCACTGCCTTGATTCCCCCCGTGTTAATCACTGCCTTGATTCTCCCCGTGTTAATCACTCCTTGATTCCCCCCCGTGTTAATCACTGCCTTGATTCCCCCCCGTGTTCATCACTGCCTTGATTCCCCCCGTGTTAATCACTGCCTTGATTCCCCCCGTGTTAATCACTGCCTTGATTCCCCCCGTGTTTATCACTGCCTTGATTCCCCCCGTGTTAATCACTCCCTTGATTCCCCCCGTGTTAATCACTGCCTTGATTCCCCCCGTGTTAATCACTGCCTTCATTCCCCCCGTGTTAATCACTGCCTTGAGCCTTGAGACATTGAGACATTGAGCCTTGAGACATTGTGACATTGAGCCTTGAGACATTGAGACATTGAGCCTTGAGACATTGAGACATTGAGCCTTGAGACATTGAGACATTGAGCCTTGAGACATTGAGACATTGAGCGTTCAGCACTGCCTTGAGCCCTGCAGCGACGGGGAGGCAGCGATGGGCGGCAGCTACGGTCGGCAATGTGAAGGAGGCGGCACTGCGGGGAGGAGAGGCGCGCGTGCATCTCTCCGCTTAATCACCTAGGCACGCGTGGGAGCGAGCGTGTTGGGATGACGCACGGCCGGCAGTCACAGGCGTGTGGCTGCCTCCTACCCGCCCTGCTGACCACGTGCTCGGAGGCAAGGTGCGGAGGAGCAGCCGAGGAGGCGGCAAGGAGGCAAGGAGGCAAGGAGGAGGCAAGGAGGAGGCAAGAAGCAAGTGGTTTCTTTCTTGCCGTGTATCGTGAGCAAGGAGGCTGAGGCACGACAAGGAGAGGCAGATGGCAAAGAGGAGGCTGCTGCACCTGTGGACGGCAGAGAGTAGCCTAATGGATCCCCACGTAGGAGGCATGGCGTAGCTTGGCAGCAGCTGTGTTTAGCAAACTGTTGTTTAGAGAGGAGGCTGCTGCACCTGTGGACGGCAGAGAGTAGCCTCCCACTCCCACTCCCAAACTCGTGAGTTGCTTCCCGGCCTTCCCTACCTTGCCTTACCTACCTTGCCAAACTTGCCTCACTCCTTCTTGACTTGTCCGTCCGCCTTCACCCTTACTGCCCTTAACCTTACTGACTTTGCCGTTGCTGCCTTCACCATTACTGCTTGACCGTTACTGCCTTGACCCTTTGTGCCCTTACAATGCATGCTCGATCCTTTCGCTCACTCACCCCTCATCTCTCCTGTCCACCCGTCCCATCCATCTGCTCCCACAGGCTCTTGTGCTCGTGAGGAGGCAGGAAGCGCACCGACTCAGCAAACTGGCCGCCCCAGCAGCAGCAAGGCGGAGTGTGCCTGCCCTCCCACACCAGCAGCAGCAGAGGCGAGCGGCAGCTGGGGAACAGTGGAGGGGCGAGGGAGTGGAGCAAAGAAAGGGGTGTGGAGGTGAGTCGACCCAGTCACTCCTGACATTCCTCTCCGTGCCCAGCCTGATCAGTTTCCTGTTTGACATTCGCACTTGCAAAATCTCTGGCAATATCCTTTTTCTTTCCTTTGGGTTGTGGCAGGTTGAGGGGCAGAGGAAGTATGGAAGTGGGGGAGGAGGGGAGCATGCCGCGGAAGCAGAGGCAGAGGCGAGCAGCAGCAGCAGGGGAGCAGTGGAGGGGAGAAGAGGGAGTAGACCAGAGAAAGCTGTGTGGAGGTGAGTCGAGCCCACGTGGCATTCCTCTCTGTGCCCTGCCTGACCAGCCCTGCTTTCCTGTTCCACATGAGACCATGTCATTCAATCCTTTTCTCCTTGCTCTTCGTTCTCCTTGGCTCATGGCAGGTCGGAGCAGGGGAGGGCAAGCAGAGGAGGGCAAGCAGAGGCGGGCTAGCAGACAAGGGCTAGCAGAGGAGGGCTAGCAGAGGAGAGCTAGCAGAGGAGGGCTAGGGCTAGCAGAGGAGGGCTAGCAGAGGAGGGCTAGCAGAGGAGGGCAGCAGAGAAAGTGATGTGGAGGTGAGTCGAGCCCACGTGGCATTCGTCTCTGTGCCCTGCCTGACCAGTCCTGCTTTCCTGTTCCACATGAGACCATGTCATTCAATCCTTTTCCTCCTTGCTCTTCGTTCTCCTTGGCTCATGGCAGGTCGGAGCAGAGGTGGGGAGAGTAGGAGTGGAGCAGAGGAGGGGAGCGGAGGAGGGGAGCAGGGAAGGGGAGAAGACGTGGGTAGAAGAGGAGGTGGCGAGCAGAGGATGGCAAGCAGAGGAAGGAGCGTGGAGGTGAGTGGAGCCCACCTGGCATTCCTTGCTGTGCCATCAACAATCTGGTGAGATCCGAGCCATCATAGAATCCTCCTCTCCCAGGCTCCTCATAATCGAAATCTGTTCCTCTCTCCTTGGCTTGTGGAGCAGAAGCAGAGGGGGTTAGCTGAAGCAGAGGAAGCAGCAGCAGAGGGGACAGCGAAGCAGAGGGGGTTAACTGAAGCAGAGGGAACAGAAGGGGAGATAAAATGGGGTCTAAAAAGCAGAGGGTGGGAAACCTGAGCGCCCAGGTTCCCCACCCTTCAATATGTTTTACCCGCCCAGGTTTCCCACTCAGAGGGTGGGAGACCTGGGCGCCCATCAATGTGTTCCCGAGGAATATAGCCATTATCACGGCTATATTCCTTTCTAGCCATTATAATGGCAGTATTTCCTTTGAAAATTACTCTCTTTTTATTCCCCTTAAGAACTACTCTGATGATGCTTCTCAATATGTGGTAAACCATGGGCGTAGAAACTGCTTGGCAGCAGTACTGGGGTGTTAGCACATGCGTTGAGCCTTCTTCCCTGGACAACCGAAGCAGTTCCCTGTGGCAGTCAAGGCAGGAGGATGAAGACCACATACGCTAGAGCTGAACCGGTTACATGGGTTGTACTGGATTTCAGGGACAGCAACTGCAGGGACGCTAACTATAGGGACACTAACTGCAGGGACACTAGATACAGGGACGCTAACTGTAGGGACGCTAACTTCAATATGTTCTACCCGCCCAGGTTTCCCACTCAGAGGGTGGGAGATCTGGGCGCCCATCAATGTGTTCCCGAGGAATATAGCCATTATCACGGCTATATCCCTTTCTAGCCATTATAAAGGCAGTATTTCCTTTGAAATTTTCTCTCTTTCTATTCCCCTTGGGAACTACTCTGATGATGCTTCTCATGATGTGGTAATCTGTGGGCGTAGAAACAGTTTGGCAGCAGTATTGGGGTGTTAGCACATGCGTTGTGCCTTCTTCCCTGGACAACCGAAGCAGTTCCCTGCGGCAGTCAAGGCAGGAGGATGAAGACCACATTCGCTAGAGCTGAACCGGTTACATGGGCTATACTGGATTTCAGTGACAGCAACTGCAGGGACGCTAACTATAGGGACACTAACTGCAGGGACACTAGATACAGGGACGCTAACTGCAGGGACGCTAACTTCAATATGTTCTACCCGCCCAGGTTTCCCACTCGAGGGTGGGAGACCTGGGCGCCTATCAATGTGTTTCCGAGGAATATAGCCATTATCACGGCCATATTCCTTTCCTGCCATTATTATGGCAGTATTTCCTTTGGCAGTATATGCACAAAGTACAGGGCTCGTGCACCAAGGCACACTAACTACAGGGACAGCAACTGCAGGGACGCTAACTGCAGAGACGTTAACTGCAGGGACGCTAACTACAGGGACGTTAAGTGCAGGGACGATAATTACAGGGACATAGAAACGCTAACTACAGGGTCGCTCAGTACAGGAGTTGTGCACCAAGGCGTGCTAACCACAGGAATGATAATTACAGGGACACTAACTGCAGGGCGTGTGTTCAATGCACGCTAATTTTAGGGATGCTAACTACAGGGTTAAGTACAGTGCGTGTGTACCAACGCAAGCTAACTACGGGTTCCCCTTTGGGAACTACCCTTCTTTTTCGGCCGTTGGGCCAGGTGTTACACCACCTGGTCTGAGCATGGCTTGTGAGACGCCTCAGCCCTGCTCGTGTTGCGGGGCTGCGAACGTGGACGGCAGCTACGGCAGAGGGAGCATAGGGAGCAGCGAAGCAGAGGGGGTAGCTGCTTGTGTTGCGGGGCTGCGAACGTGGATGGCAGCTACGGTGGTGGGTATCTCGTAAGCCGCTGCTCTCTGTTTTTGTCTTGTTAACTAACCCCCCGTTGTTTCCATGCAGGTCCCACACGAAGGGTCCCCACCTCAACGCGGTGTGTGGGTGTAACACTAGGGGTTAACCCCCCTAGTGGCCAAGAGGGGCCCAGAAGACCCAAGACCCTGGCGCACTTCATATGCTTATGAAGCAGAGAAGGCCAGGCCAGCTGAAGCAGAGGGAGTTAGCTGAAGCAGAGGAAGCAGCGAAGAAGAGGGGGTTAGGTGTGCACAGGAGGATAGCTGAAGCAGGAAGCAACGAAGCAGATGGGAATAACTGAAGCAGAGGGAGCAGAAAGGGTGATAAAAAAGGGGGGCTAAATAGCAGAGGGTGGGAAACCTGGGCGCCCAGGTTCCCCACCCTTCAATATGTTCTACCCGCCCAGGTTTCCCACTCAGAGGGTGGGAGACCTGGGCGCCTATCAACGTGTTCCCGAGGAATATAGCCATTATCACGGCTATATTCCTTTCCTGCCATTATTATGGCAGTATTTCCTTTTTGATGATTCTTCTCATGATGTGGTAATCTGGGGTGTTAGCACATGCGTTGTGGTATACACTTACTGGATTCCAGGCCCGCGCACCATGACACACTAACTACAGGGCCGCTAACTGCAGGGACCCTAGATACAGGGACGCTAACTGCAGGGACCCTAGATACAGGGACGCTAACTGCAGGGACCCTAGATACAGGGACGCTAACTGCAGGGACCCTAGATACAGGGACGCTAACTGCAGGGACCCTAGATACAGGGACGCTAACTGCAGGGACCCTAGATACAGGGACGCTAACTGCAGGGACCCTAGATACAGGGGCGCTAACTGCAGGGACCCTAGATACAGGGACGCTAACTGCAGGGACCCTAGATACAGGGACGCTAACTGCAGGGACCCTAGATACAGGGACGCTAACTGCAGGGACCCTAGATACAGGGACGCTAACTGCAGGGACCCTAGATACAGGGACGCTAACTGCAGGGACCCTAGATACAGGGACGCTAACTGCAGGGACTCTAACTACAGGGACATTAAGTGCAGGGACTCTAACTACAGGGACATTAAGTGCAGGGACTCTAACCACAGGGACATTAACTGCGGGGACTCTAACTACAGGGACATTAAGTGCAGGGACTCTAACTACAGGGACATTAAGTGCAGGGACTCTAACTACAGGGACATTAAGTGCAGGGACTCTAACTACAGGGACATTAAGTGCGGGGACTCTAACTACCGGGACATTAAGTGCGGGGACTCTAACTACAGGGACATTAAGTGCGGGGACTCTAACTACAGGGACATTAAGTGCGGGGACTCTAACTACAGGACATTAAGTGAAGGGACGATAACTACAGGGACATCAAGTGCAGGGACGATAACTACAGGGACATTAAGTGCAGGGACTCTAACTACAGGGACATTAAGTGCAGGGACTCTAACTACAGGGACTTCCCTTCAGGGCTTCACGTGGGGCGAGGAGGGCGAGGGGGCAGCGTGGCGGGGCAGCAAGAGGAATTTCTCTGCTTAATCCCCGCCTTCCTTCCCTTCAGGGCTTCACGTGGAGCGAGGAGGGCGAGGGGGCAGCGCGCGCGCATCAAGAGGCGTCTCTCTGCATAATCCCCCCCTTCCATTCCCTTCAGCATGGCGGGCAGCGCGGAGACGACACGGCGGCCGGCACGGACGGAGGTGAGGTGCTGTTTCATCGCTGCAGCGAGGTAAGCCTCTTCCCTTGTCCGTTTCCGCCTTGCTTTCTTTCTGTTTTTTGCATTACATGTATTTGTTGTGCCTGTTTCACTTGATCCTGTTTTCCTGTTTGTCTCTCTAATCCCCCCCTTCCATTCCCTTCAGGCCGACTCGTGTCGCGAGGAGGGCGAGGGGGCAGCACGGGGCAGCAAGAGGCGTCTCTTTAATCCCCCCCTTCCATTCCCTTCAGCATGGCGGGCAGCGCGGAGACGACACGGCGGGCGGCACGGACGGAGGTGAGGTGCTGATTCATCGCTGCAGCGAGGTAAGCCTCTTCCCTTGTCCGATTCCGCCTCGCTTTCTTTCTGTTTTTGGCGTTACATGTATTCGTCGTGCCTGTTTCACTTGATCATGTTTTCCTGTTTGTCTCTCTAAACCCCCCCTTCCACTCCCTTCAGGTCGACTCGTGTCGAGAGGAGGGCAAGGGGGCAGCGCGGTGGGGCAGCAAGAGGCGTCTCTCTAATCCCCCCCTTCCATTCCCTTCAGCATGGCGGGCAGCGTGGAGACGACACGGCGGGCGGCACGGACGGAGGTGAGGTGCTGATTCATCGCTTCAGCGAGGTAAGCCTCTTCCCTTGTCCGTTTTCGCCTTGCTTTCTTTCTGTTTTTCGCATTACATGTATTTTTCGTGCCTGTTTCACTTGATCCTGTTTTCCTGTTTGTCTCTCTAATCCCCCCCTTCCATTCCCTTCAGGTCGACTCGTGGGGCGAGGAGGGCGAGGGGGCAGCGCGCTGGCAGCAAGAGGCGTCTCTCTAATCCCCCCCTTCCTTCCCTTCAGGTCGACTCGTGGGGCGAGGAGGGCGAGGGGGCAGCGCGCTGGCAGCAAGAGGCGTCTCTCTAATCCCCCCCTTCCATTCCCTTCAGGTCGACTCGTGGGGCGAGGAGGGCGAGGGGGCAACGCGCTGGCAGCAAGAGGCGTCTCTCTAATCCCCCCCTTCCATTCCCTTCAGGTCGACTCGTGGGGCGAGGAGGGCGAGGGGGCAGCGCGCTGGCAGCAAGAAGCGTCTCTCTAATCCCCCCCTTCAATTCCCTTCAGGTCGACTCGTGGGGCGAGGAGGGCGAGGGGGCAGCGCGCTGGCAGCAAGAGGCGTCTCTCTAATCCCCCCCTTCAATTCCCTTCAGGTCGACTCGTGGGGCGAGGAGGGCGAGGGGGCAGCGCGCTGGCAGCAAGAGGCGTCTCTCTAATCCCCCCCTTCCTTCCCTTCAGGTCGACTCGTGGGGCGAGGAGGGCGAGGGGGCAACGCGCTGGCAGCAAGAGGCGTCTCTCTAATCCCCCCCTTCCTTCCCTTCAGCATGGCGGGCAGCGCGGAGGGCGACACGGCGGGCGGCACAGCGGGCGGCACGGACGGAGGTGAGGTGCTGTTGCATCGCTTCAGCGAGGTAACCTTCTTCCCTTGTCCGTTTTGTCTTGCTTTCTGTCTCAGATTTGTCTTGCTTGCTTTCTGTTTTTTCGCGTTACATGTATTGGTCGTGCCTGTTTCACTTGATTGTGTGTTGTGTTTGTCTTGTGTTGTGTGTCGCTCTGCAGCTGGCAGGGTCCAAGACCCAAGACCGCCTCCGACTGCGGCATAGGTGTTGTGCGGCAGGGGTTGCTGACGGCGTTGGGACGGACGCCTCCCGCGCCTGAAGCGCCCCTGTGTGTGAGTTGAGTGTTCTGACGAGGGATGGGGGGACGCTCCCTGAACTCTGATGGCCTCCTCACCCCGCCTTCGCCTGGCCAGGTGTTACGCCACCTGGTCTGAGTTGGGCTGTGGGACGCTGCAGCCCGGCTCGTGTCGTTAAGGGGCTGCGGAAGGCAACAACGACAAGGGTGGGTTTTGGTGAGTCGCTCTGCTCTTCGATTCTTTTTTAAACCTAACCCGCCGTGGTAACCATGCAGGTCCCACACAAAGGGTCCCCACCTCAACGTGGTGTGTGGGTGTAACACTAGGGGTTAACCCCCCTAGTGGCCAAGAGGGGCCCAGAAGACCCAAGACCCTGGCGCACTCTATTACTGTATTGCCTGTATGATAGTAGATTCAAATAGTTGCCTACATAATGATACGTAGGTCTGCTTAGGTTATAAATCAGACAAGTACGTCTCAGCATGGACGTACAGGTGGTGCAATACATAGCGTACAGGTGCTACTGTGGATATGCTGTTGCAGTTCATTATAACTTACAGGTGCTAGGATACAGTTCCTGCTAGGATATGCAGATTGAAACAGATGCATTTGCCAAATTGTCGGGTAGTGTAGTCACAAGAAAGCACCCACCCAGGTTTGTCGCCTTTGCTACACATCACTCGATGCTACTGTCTACATTTTGTCCAACGGCTCTCAAAGGCCCCCCCTTGACTGCCATACGGCTCTCATTCGAGCTACTAGTGCTCTCTACGGCCCCGAGTGCCAAGCAGAGCGAATCCCTCAACAGCATACCCTATCGTAACTCCTAACATGGGAGAGTGTACCCAATTTTGTCACTTTTGCTACACATCACTCGATGCTAACTACATTTCGTCCAAAGGCTCTCCAAGGCCCCTTTGACTACCATATTGCTCTCAAGTTCTCAACGGCCAGGCCCCGCGCTAATGCAAAGAGAGTCGAGAGCCAAGGAGAGCATAACTCCCAACATCTGTAGGGCATGCCCAGTCTGTCGGGCTGTTCACATAAATACCGTAAGATGATACCCCAGTCTGTCGGGCTGTTCACATGAATACCGTAAGATGATACCCCAACATGCAGGGTCGCGAGGTCGCGTGAATGCACAGCCTTCAGGTCTACAGCTTGCAGAGACGGCGAGTAGTCATTTGCCGAGTCTAGCCCTGGGTCTAGCCCTCCCCCTTACCGGCCCCATCCCCCTCTGCTCCTCCCCCTCCCACGCCTCCCCTGACTTGGAGATCCCAGAGTTTATCAAGGGATGTCTGTCATCAGCCCAAACCCTCCAAACCCGAACCCGCTCTGCCCCTCAGACTGCTGCCCCACCCCTCCCTCTCCTGCTCCTCCCCTGGCTTCGGTTCATCAAGGGATGTCTGTCATAAGCCCAAACCCTCCGAATCCGAACCCGCCCTGCCCCTCATAGCCTCCCATAGAGTCGGGAGACATATCCATGGGGCCCCCAGGCGACCTCAGGTCTACAGCTTGCAGAGAAGGCGGGTAGTCGTCCGAATAGGGAGAGCCCGGGTCTAGCCCTCCCGAGCCTGACCTTGGCGAACCTCCGCCGGACGACCCGTGCCCGAGCCTGTGTCCGGACCTGTATCCTGCGTCCGGGTATGCTGGCTCGTCCTGCCTGTAGAAAGTTTCCTGCTGCACGGGAACCTGCCCGGGCTGCCCGTATGGAGTAAGATCCTGGGCCTGGAGGTGCTGCTGCTGATGTGGCACGTTAAGTGGCTGAAGCTCCACGACTAGAGGTTGTTGCTGAGCTGGTGCGTGCTGAGGTGGCAGATGCTGAGCTGGCAGGTCGACAGGGTGTGGGGCAGGGAGGGCAGCGGCCTGAGTTGGCTGCGGTGCAGTGGTGTTGCTGCCGGTGGTGGTGGCACCGGTGGTGGTGGTAATGCTGCTACTTTTAACGGACTGAACGGTGGCAGTCGGGGTGAGGGAGAGCGAGAGTAACTGTGCGAAATGAAGCGGCTGAGGCGAGGCTTTGGAGGCTTGAGGCAGAGTGACGGTGGCAGCACGCGGCATCATAGAGGAGAAGAGAGAACCGGTGGCTGCAAACAGGCCTCCACTCTGGTGGGACAGGGGATGACAGGGATGGCAACACAAGCGGGTGAGTGAGTGGGGAGGGTGGAAAGGAGCATTGTGGAGGAAAAGAGAGACCTTGTGGCTGCAAACAAGCCTCCAGTTTGGTAGCACAGGGCAGGGCAAGAGACTGACCAGACACGGCAAAGCGACCTGAGTACTGTCCGAGCCCACTCAGAACTTTTGAGAATTCTCAAAAGTCGCACCGAGAATTCTCAAAAGTCGCACCAACAGAGACTGACTAGACACGGCAAAGCGACCTGAGTACTGTCCCAGCCCACTCAGAACTGCAAGTGAGTCGATTCCAAAATCAGCGCAAAGAGTCTTGAGGCGCCTAAACACACATCAAGAGCTCACCTGAGCAGCGGCAGCGCGAGGAGGAGAGGGCGGCTCTGCAGAGAGCAGCTGCTCGATGCGCGAGTCGACAGCCCTGAGCTGCTGCATCACGTGCGCTAGCTCTGCCTCCTTGGCCTCCACTGCTGCCCTCTGCGCCTCCACGCGCTGGTGAAAGAGGTGGGGTGGGGAAGGTGGGGAGGGGATGGTGAGATTCTTGAGTCTACGGCCCTGAGCTGCTGCATCACGTGCGCTAGCTCCGCCTCCTTGGCTTCCACTGCTGCTCTCTGCGCCTCCACACGCTGGGGGGGTTGGGGGAGGGGGAAAGTGGGGGGTGGGGATGGGGTGTGGGGAGTGGTGTTGAGAGGGTGAGTCGACTACCCTGAGCTCAGCTGCATCACATGCGCCAGCTCTGCCTCTTTGGCTTCCACTGCTGCCCTCTGCGCCTCCACGCGCTGGTGCGGGGAAGGGAGTAAGGGGATGGGGGGAGTGGGATAGAGCACATGGTACGAGTGGGATTGAGTGTCGACCGCTCTGAGCTGCTGCATCACGTGCGCCAGCTCTGCTTCTTTTGCCTACTGCTGCTCTCTGCGCCTCCACACGCTGGTTGGGGTGTGTAGGGGAGTGGGATAGAGAGCATTGAGTGTTGATCACTCTGAGCTGCTGCATCACGTACGCTAGCGCTGCTTCTTTGGCTTCCACTAATGCCCGCTGTGCTTCCACACGCTGATGGGGGGCGGGGGATGTGGGGAATGGCGTTGGGGAAGTGTGAGTGTCTACGGCCCTGAGCTGCTGCATCACATGCTACCACATGCTCCAAGTCCTGGGCCTCCATCGCTGCTCTCTCTGCACCTCCACATGCTGGTCGGGGGTGGTTGGAAGGGGGGGAAGTTGAAGGGGGAGATGGGATGGGTGAAGTGGGATGGGAGGGAGGAAGCAGAGACTCCACATTGCAAAGAGGGTGGGAGGGCAGTTAACTCGGCCTTGTCCACGGCCATCCTGCCACCTGCCTCCCTTCCCCCCAGACACTCACACACCCATGCATATGCACCCATCTGTACCCATCCATATGACAGCTCATTTCCACCCCCCACAGCCACACACATGCACACGCACATCTACCCATTATACATGGGCAGCGAGGGTAGGGTTTTTACTCGACTCGCTCGAAATGCTCGTTGGGGGTCGAGTGGCGAGCCTGCTTTTTTGGGAAAAAAACTCGGCCGAGGCGAGGCGAGTTTTACTGCTTTAAGCATTTTCGTGTACTCGGGGGAGGTTTTCGTGCTCGACGAGTTTTTAAATCTCGTCGTGCATGCGGGAATCTCGTCCCGTAACCCTAAAAGAGAAATTGCGGGAATGGTTGGGTACAGATCTGAAACGCATTTGTACCCAACCACCACAATTTCCACCGCTCGCGAAATTGGCGAGCGGGTGAAATTTTGTCGTGCCTTACCAAGAATCTCCTGTGATCAAGTCAAAGTGTTAGCGAACTGTTATCGCGAAACAGTTTGACGCGACTCACATCTCCTCCTCTCAATCCACCACCCCCCCCCCCCCCCCCCCCCTTCCCTCCCCAGATCTCGACAGTCTTAGCTACTGCGCTCGATTTCTTACCTAGTTTCGTAGACTAGGCAACTTAGTACCTCGGCATCTTAGAAACGTTTCTATTTCAATCAAACCAAAACGAGTCGCGTCATTTCACCAAGAGAAAAACAGAGCATCATGTCGACGAATCAAACCTAGACATGTCTTGTCTAGGAAATTTATTCATGGGCAGATTTTGCAGTTACAAGGCACAGGGTGGCGAGTCGAGCATGCACCTAAACTCGTCCGAGCATGCCCCAAAACGACGAGTCACGAGTATGCAAAAACGAGAAAATTGCTCGTCAGAGTTTTGCTCGACTCGGGGCAAAACTCGGACGAGCAAGACCATGGACGAGTCGAGTTTTGCTCGACTCGTCAGTTTGACCATGTATACTACCCATCTGTAAGTCGCCTCACCTTGTCCACAGCCCTCCTGCCACCCGCCTTGCCATCGCGCACCATTGGAGACGCCATGCCATCTTGCATTGCCACCACCAGCGCACCCTCCCCACCGTCCACACGCACGCCCATACACATTCACCCAACCGTACCCATCTGTAAGTCGCCTCACCTTGTCCACGCCCCTCCTGCCGCCAGGCCTGCCATCCCGCACCATGGGAGACGCCATGCCGTCTTGCATCGCCACCACCAGCGCCCCCTCCCCCTAAGCCACACTCACTCTCATGCACCCATCTGTAAGCCGCCTCACCTTGTCGACGGCCCTCCTGCCTCCTGGCCTTCCATCCCGCACCATAGGAGACGCCATGCCATCCTGCATCGCCACCACCAGCGCCCCCTCCCCTTCCTCGCCTCCCACCCCCACGCCCCTCTCCCTTCCGCCCCTCTCCCTCACCCCCATCCCCTCCTCATCCACCTCTGCAATCACCACTGCCACCAACCCCACCTCCCCGTCCCCTCCCTCCGCTCCCGTTCCCCCTCCCCGCATCTCCTCCTTCTCCCTCTCCCGCTCTCTCTCTGCCTCTCTCTCTGCTTCTCTGAGCGTCTGCCTGACAGCAGCCGATTCCTTCATGCACAGAGCCACAGTGCCTCGTAGCGCCTCTGCCTGGAGCATTAGAGCTTCTACCTCCTTCTCCCGCCGCTCCTCGCTCATTTCATTCACGTCCTCTGCCTCCTCTTCTGCCTCCTCTGCTGCCTCCTCTGCTGCCTCCCTTGCTGCCTGCTGCTCCTTCTCTGTCTGCTCCTGTGTTTTACCCTCAGCCCCTGCAATCTCTGATGCCTTATCTACTGCCTGTACTGCTGACGCGTCTGGCCCAGTCCCCTCGTCCTTAGCAGCGCTATCCCCCACAAAGATATGCAGAAGCGGCTTCTTGACTTCCCCTGCTCTCGCTCCTGCTGCCCCTGCTGCTGTGGTAGCCGCATCCTTAGCCCCCGTGCTCTCCTTACTGTCACCTTGTTTGCCGTCACCTGCACCATCCGCATCTGCAGCTCCATCAGCAGCAGCAGCAGCAGGAGCAGCAGGAGGATCGGGCTTCTTAGCAGCCCCCCAGAGCCCCAGGCCTGAGAACTTCATTCCCTGTAGCGAACTCACGAGGTTGCCGGCTGCTGTTGCCGCTGCAGCTGCCCCTGCTGTCGCTGCTGCCGACACTGTTGTTACCCCACCTGTCGCTGCCCCGCCTGTCGAAGCTGCTGCTGCTGCTTCTGTCTCAACCACCCCTCCCTTTTCCAACTCTGCTGCAGCCCCATCTGCTGTGGCCCCTGCTTCTGCTCCCGCTGTAGGTGCCGCTGCTGCTCCTCCGCTTGCCGCTGGTGTTATGCCTACTCCTGCCTGGCCGTCCTTAGCACCAGCTGCAGCAGAAGCAGCAGGGGCGACCGCAGGCTGTTTGGGGGCAAAGACAGAGACGGCAGCAGCCAGCAGCCCCACCTTCTTGTCTCCCTCAGCAGCTGTAGCTTTAGCTGTAGCAGCTGCAGTGACAGCTCCTGCCGCCTCTGCTACAGCCGTGCCAGCAGCAGCCACATTCACACTCTCGCCTACTACAGCCGCCGCCTTGGCTGCTTCGGCTGTAGCTGCAGCAGCCGCCGCAGCTGCTACAGCCGCCTGTAAACGGTCCTCCAGCAACCCCACTCGGTGCAACGACAGCTGTAGCATCACGTGCACAAACGCCGTCCGATGCCGCCCTGACTGCCCCCCTGCTGCCGCCCCTACCGCCCCCCCTGCTGCTACATCCCCTGCTTCTCCCCGGCCCACGCCCGCTCCCGCCGCCAAACCACCTGGCGAAACCCCTGGAGCACCTGGGAAAACACCCGGAGAACCACCTGGGACGCCAGGAGAAACAGAGGGCCACCAAGGCCCGCGGCCGTGCAGCCAGGGGCCCCACCTGGCGGGCCCTGAAGCCGAGTGCGCCTCGCGCTCTGCAATGAGAGACGCCGAGAGTTGCTCCCAGCGCTGCTGCACTGCTGAACGCGGGGAGAGCAGCGACACGCTCAGCCGCCGCGAGGCAGAGCGGCTTATACGCCCCGCCTTGGCAGACGCGTGTGTGGCTGGCCCTGCCCCTGCCGGTGCTGCCCCTGTTAGTGCTGCCCCTGCCAGCCCCGCCCCTGCCCCTCCAGCCTCACTGGACCCACCAGGAGGAGTCACACTCCCTGCTTCGCCCGCTCCGCCCGATCCGCCCGCTACTGCACCAGCATCAGTGCGCAGGGATTCAGAGACGGCGCGGCTGTAGGAGAGCCCCTTCTTGAGCGCCAGCAGCTTGATGCCCATGCTCACGCCCTCGTCCGGCCGAGCCAGCCCCTTGAGCAGCTCCGACGCACCATGCACGTACGACAGCATGTCTGATGACGTGCGCTCCAGCCCAAACCCGCTTGATCCCCTGCCCTCGACTCTGCCCTCACCCTGCTGCTGCTGCTGCTGCGGCTGTGAGAATCTGCCTGCCTTTTCAGCAGCAGTAGAGGTATCTCCTCCGGGGCTGTCAGTAGAAGCAGGGAGCTTGGGGCGCGGAGGCAGCAACGGCGCCTCCCCTGCCCTCCGCCTCGCAAAGCTATCCTGCCTCTCCGCCACAACAGGCCCCTCGTATTCCACCCCACCAGCAGAAGCGCCAGCGCTGGCAGCGGCAGCGGCGGCGGCGGCAGCAGCGTCGCTCCCGAGAGCACCAAGGGCTTCAAGCTGCCTGTGCGCCTCTGCCAGCGCGCGCAGGGCCTCCTGCCGCCCCCGCCACTCCTCCTCCGCCACCAGCGCCACCTCTGTTGACAGCTCCTGCTCATGCTGCAACTCCAGATACAGGTCGTCTAGTTCTTGCTCCAAAGAGGACTGCACTTCTGCTGTGTCCTCCAGTTGCCTGGGGGATAGGGGATGGGGAAGTGGGGAGAGGGGATGGGGAAGCGGGGAGAGGGGGGTTGGGCTCTGCCACCAGCGCCACCTCCGTTGACAGCTCCTGCTCGTGCTGCAACTCCAAATACAGATGATCCAGTTCTTGTTCCAAAGAGGACTGGACTTCTGCTGTGTCCTCCAGTTGCCTGGGGGATAGGGGATGGGGAAGTGGGGAGAGGGGATGGGGAAGCGGGGAGAGGGGATGGGGAAGTGGGGAGAGGGGATGGGGAAGTGGGGAGAGGGGATGGGGAAGCGGGGAGAGGGGGGTTGGGCTCTGCCACCAGCGCCACCTCCGTTGACAGCTCCTGCTCGTGCTGCAACTCCAAATACAGATGATCCAGTTCTTGTTCCAAAGAGGACTGGACTTCTGCTGTGTCCTCCAGTTGCCTGGGGGATAGGGGATGGGGAAGTGGGGAGAGGGGATGGGGAAGTGGGGAGAGGGGGGTTGGGCTCCGCCACCAGCGCCACCTCCGTTGACAGCTCCTGCTCGTGCTGCAACTCCAGATACAGATGGTCTAGTTCTTGCTCCAGAGACGACTGCACTTCTGCTGTGTCCTCCAGTTGCCTGCAGAGTGGGGTGAAGGAGGGAAGGAGAGGGACGGAGTCACGTGGAGAACGTCTGCTCGTGCCGCAGCTCCAGATAAAGAAGATTGGACCTCCGCTGCGCCCTCCAGTTGCCTGGGGGATAGGGCATGGAGGCGGAGAAGGGAGAAGGTTAAGGAAGAGGGGAGTAAGGCAGAGAGAGGCAAGCACCACAGCAGTAAGGCACAACACATAGTGCGAGCCGCGCACAGCACACAGCACGGCTCACCTCAACGCCTGGGCGCATTTCGCCCTCAAATCTTCCAGCTCTGATTCCCCCGCCTCTCCTCTCGCCACCCCCTCCTCAACAGTTAGTGCGCACAGCACACAGCACTTAGTCCGGCACAACACTCAGTGCACACAGGCACACAGCACACAGCACATCTCACCTCAGCGCCTGGGCGCATTTCGCCCTCAAATCTTCCAACTCCGACTCCCCCGCCTCTCCTCTCGCCGCCACCTCCTCCCCCTTCCCCTCCGATTCCTGCTTCTCTTCACCCTCTTTCCCCACATCCGCACTCCCCCCTTCAACCATCCCCCCCACACTACCCCCCGCACTCGCCCCCACAACCGCCCCTCGCGCCACACTCTCTTCCAGCTCCCTCACTCTCTCCTCCGCCTCCTTCCCTCGCTGCACCTCCTCCTCAAGCTCCCTCACTCGCTTCTCCGCCTCCTCCCGTCTCCCCCTCTCCTCCTCCCCCCGCGCAATCGCCTCTCTCTCCCTGTGCTCCGCTGTCTTGCGCCCCATCACGTACTCCACCATCCGCTCGCGCATGCCCGCCAGTTCCGCGCCCATCTCCTCCGCCACCCGCCTAGTCGCCCCCTCCGCCTCTTCCGCCCGCACCCTCTGCCTCTCCAACTTCCCTTCAAGCTCTCTCACCTCTCTCTCTGCCTCCTCAGCCTGTTCCCTCAGCTGTCCCACCTGCCCCAGCTCGGATTTAACCTCTTCAAGCTCTCTCTCTGCTGCCTCCGCGCGTTCCCTCTGCTGCTCCAGGTTTGCAGTAACCTCCCGCACCTCCCCTTCCGCCTCCCCGCCCCTCTCCCTCTGCTGCCCCAGCTTTGAATCGAGTTCCCCCATTGCTCGCTCCGCCTCCTCCGCTTTCGCCCGCTCCGCCCCCAGCTGTGTTTCCAGCTCCGCCAGTTGCGCTTTAAGCTCAATCACCTGCGCCTCGAGCGTCCGCTGCTCCCCCAGCTGCGTTTCCAGCTCCGCCACTTGCGCTTTCAGCCCCCTCGTTTCCACTTCTGCCTCCCCCGCCCTCTCCCGCTGCACCCCCACCTGCGCGCCCAGCTCCACCACCTGCGCCTCGAGCTCAACCACCTGCGCCTCGAGCGTCCGCCGCCGCACTTCCGCCTCCTCCACCTCCTCCCTCTGCTGCCCCACCTGCGCTTCGAGCTCAATCACCTGCGCCTCGAGCTCCCTCCGCGCTGCCTCCGCCTTGTCGCGCTGCTGCTCTGCTTCCTGCCTGCGCTGCTCGCCCTCCTCCCACCGCTCTAGCAGATTCGCCTTCTGAGCTTCTGCTGCCTCTATCCTGTCCCTTAGGTCCTCTAATTCACCCTCCAACTCCACAATCCTTCCCGCCCCTGCCTTCCCCTCCTCCTCGCTCTTCTCACTCTTCTCACTCTTTTCCCCTTCTTCTCCACTGCCCCCAGCCCCCTTTTCTCCGCCCACACTGCTCTCCGCCTTCTCCCGCCACTTCTCCGCCTCCCTCTCCGCCTCCTCCCTTCTCCCCTTCTCCTCCAGCACCTTCCGCACAGCAGCCTGCGCCGTCCGCTCCGCCTCCTCCACCCGCGCGCGCATGCCCTCCACGTCATCCCTCCCCTTCTCCAGCTCATCCCTCCCTCTTTCCACCTCACCATTCGCCCTGTCCAGCTCATCCCTAACCGCGTCCAGCTCAGCATTCGCCCGTTCCAGGTCATCCTTCAAATCGTCAATCTGCCTTCTGAAATCATCCTCAGCCTGAGTAGCCAAATCCTCCATCCCCTTAGCATAAGCAGCCATACTTTCCCTCATAGACTCCCTCTCTACCTTCATCTCCTCATCTACCATCTGTAACTCTTGCTCTAGCTCCAAAGCCCGGTCCCTCTCCTCCTCCCAACGCCTCTCCGCCTCATCCAACCGCTCTTCAAGCTCCGCCACCTCTCCCCCCGCTCCGCCCCGCCTCTCCTTCCCCTCCGCGCCCTCCGCGTCCCCCCCCGCGCGCTCCAGCTTCCGCCGCGCCTCCTTGAGCGCTTTCTCCGCGGCTTCCCGCTTGCCCGTTTCCGCCTGCATCTGCTCCTCTAGTTCCGCCATTACCGCCTCTACGTACTGGCGCTTCCGCGCCTCCTCGCGCGCCCTGTCGTCCGCGTCCTTGGCCTTCTCCCCCGCGTCCCTCAGCTGCTCCCGCAGCTGCTCCACCTCCGCGCGCATCTCCTCCAGAGCTTCCTTCTGGCATAGAGAGGGAGAGAAAGAGAGGGGGACAGAACGAGAGAGGAAAGACGATCGTAAATGAGTCAGCTGGTGGGTTGCTTTCTCCCCCGCGTCCCTCAGCTGCTCGCGCAGCTGCTCCACCTCCGCGCGCATCTCCTCTAGCGCTTCCTTCTGGCGCGGAGGAGGGGGGGAGGGGCGCGGACAGAGGCGACAGGGGCGAAAGGGAAGGGGAACGGATAGACGGGACGGAAAGAGGAGACGCGCGAAGGAGAAAACGAAGATGCGTGAGCAGTGGAGCGAGAGAGGATAGAGCAAACAGGAGCGAGGCGAGAAGGAGAGAAAAGGAAGAAGAGGGAGGGGAGTGACGAGGAGCAACGAAGGGCGAAAAGGCAGAAAATCCACACCGGAAGGAAGCACAACCAGGTATGAAGGAAGGAGGTGACGTGGAACGAGAGGTGTGAGTGGCAAGCAAAGGGGGTTCAAAGTATAGAATCTGAGCACGAGAACAAAATGCCGGAAAAGTTGGATGAATTGGGGGGGGAGGGGAGGGGGAGAGGGAGGGCTGGGGGTGGGGTGGGGTGGGGTGGGGTGGGGTTGAGTGGGGCGGTGGTTTGAGACGGCTTGAACATCAGAGCAGATTGTTTGTGCATGAGGGCGAACGGCCAGGCGGTGAGTGGGGGGGGGGAGTGGGGAGGGAGTGGGGAGGGGGGGGCGGGGGTTCTCACCCGCGCAGAGCGCTTCTTCTTCTTGTGGGCGTCCTCGTCCTGCAAACGAGGCACAGCATAGCGGGGACGAGATGGGGCGGGGGTGGGGGGACTCTTTGCAAGGAACGGTGGAGCTTGGGGGAGACGCGAGCAGCAGTTATGGGCGCTGGGAGAGCAGGGCAGCGGGAGAGTGGCTGGTTTAACATGCATGCACGCTGGTGGAACATGCACGCTGGTGGAACATGCACGCTGGTGGAACATGCATGCACGCTGGTGGAACATGCACGCTGGTGGAACATGCACGCTGGTGGAACATGCATGCACGCTGGTGGAACATGCATGCACGCTGGTGGAACATGCATGCACGCTGGTGGAACATGCATGCACGCTGGTGGAACATGCATGCACGCTGGTGGAACATGCATGCACGCTGGTGGAACATGCATGCACGCTGGTGGAACATGCATGCACGCTGGTGGAACATGCATGCACGCTGGTGGAACATGCATGCACGCTGGTGGAACATGCATGCACGCTGGTGGAACATGCATGCACGTTGCAGGAAACGGGCTTAGTGACGCAGAGACGAGTGACGCAGAGCGTGTGCCACACGGCAACAAGGCACGTGCAACAAGGGCAGTCAAGGGCAGTCAAGGGCAGTCAAGGGCAGTCAAGGGCAGTCAAGCACATTCGAGTGTTGTCAGTAGCAGACAAGTGCAGTCAACGACAGTCAACGCCAGACAGGCGGAGTCAACGGCAGTCAACGCCAGACAGACGGAGTCAACGGCAGTAAAGCGCAGTCAACGGCAGTAAAGCGCAGTCAACGGCAGTAAAGCGCAGTCAACGGCAGTAAAGCGCAGTCAACGGCAGTAAAGCGCAGTCAACGGCAGTAAAGCGCAGTCAACGGCAGTAAAGCGCAGTCACGGCCAGAAGCCACACGAGAGAGGCAGGGAGGGGCACGCACCTGGCTCACATCATGCGCACCCGTTCCCTCCGTGTCACAGGGCAGTCACAGGCAGTCAACCGCAGTCAAGGGCAGTCAATGGAAGTCAACGACAGGCACGAGACTCACATCATGCGCCCCCGTTCCCTCCGTGTCACAGGGCAGTCAACGGCAGTCAAGGGCAGTCAAGGGAAGTCAACGGAAGTCAACGACAGGCACGAGACTCACATCATGCCCCTCCATCCCCTCCGCGTGCTCCACCAGTCCGCCGCCCCTCACCCGCCCCGCGCGCCCCTCCTCCCCTGCCTCCCCGTGCACTGCTGCGCGCCTGCCTCTCCCCTTAGACGAGTCAGTGGACGCGCCTGAAATCGTCCGCAGCAGCTCTTCGTCCCCCGCACGGTCCGCGCCTCCCCCTGCTGCGCCACCGGCGGAACCAGCGGCGGAAGACGCGGAGGGCTTTTTCGCCCCCGGGACTCTGTGCCGCGGCCTGCCCTCCTCCTCCTCCTTCCGCCGCCCCGCCCCGCTGCTGCCTGCGCTCCCAGCAGCACCGGTCCCCCCGCGGCTGAAGGCGCTGGGGGTAGCTCCCCCGGACGTGGGCGTGCTGCTTGTGCTGCTCGATCGGCTCGTGCTCTTGGGGAACCTGGCGGCCGCCGCCGCTGCTTCTTCCGCCTCCGCGTCCTTGGCGGACTTCGCTGGCGCGGGGGCCCCGGGCTGAACGCGCGGGATGGGGGGGAAGGGGGGAAAGATGGGGGAAAGGATGTGAAAGAAGGGGGGAAGACTTTCATGAGCACTTGACACGCACTCTAGCAGGGCGAGTTCATAACATTTAACTCACGCACTCTAGCATCGCCAGAATCATACAGCAGAACCGTCGACGAGCATCCCATCAGTATCCTAAGCATCCTAGAGGTATCTAGAAGAATCATGCAAACATCCTCGGTTAGATCAGCGGAAAAAAACGGTTTCGAAGGCATGCGATGCGATGCGAAGGCATGCGATGCCGTGCGGCAAAACGGCCACGATTAACCTAGTGGGAGTGCGAGACTTGACTTGACCGGCCGGCAGCGAGTGTGCGACTTTCCTTGACCGGCCGGCAGCGAGAGTGCGAGCCTTGACTGACCGGCAGCGAGAGTGCGAGCCTTGACTGGCCGGCAGCGAGAGTGCGAGCCTTGACTGGCCGGCAGCGAGAGTGCGACTTGCCTTGACTGGCTGGCAGCGACAGTGCGACATGCCTTGACCGGCCGGGAACGATGGTGTGACTTGCCTTGACTGGCGGGGAGCGAGTGCGCGACTGTGCGACTTACCTTGAATCGCAGGGAGCGAGTGTGCGACTGTGCGACTTGCCTTAAATCGCGCGAGCAGACCGGCAGCAGCAGCTCGGAGCGGCGAGGCGGACGGGTTGCCGTCGGCGTCCTGTGCACACCGGCCAAGGGATTAAGAAGGAGATAATAGGGATCACGCAGAGAAGAGCAGTGATCAGAGGAAGGACCGGAATGCAGCGCGAATCGCGGATGCCGTCCTTGACACGCGGAGCAAAGGATCATGGAGCACAGATAACTATTTCGAGGCGCCTCATGAATAGGCTCTTGAAATCTAGTCGTCCTCGACACGCGGGCTGAAGAATCGCGGAACAAATGTCATTCTGAGTCAGCTTAGAAAAAGTTGCCGTCCTCAAAACGCGCTAAGGGATTCAGGACAGAACTTAGTGAGGGGACCGAAATGCAGAGCGCTGGCATATAAAGAAGGTATCGGCAATGCAGGAGCGTTCATGATGCCAGGCTTTAAGTGAGTTGCGTTTCAACGAATAATTTTGTCAAAGAGAAAATAAGTGAGTGCTTAACGTGCTAGAGAAGAGAAGACGGTGCTGGGAGGAGGAAATCAAATAAGAGAGCAGAGATGAATCAGACGAAAAGAAAACTGTCCAAGGTGGAAGGAGGTGGATGGCGGGAATCATCAATCACTTCAAAGAGGGTAGGGGATATTTTTAGGTGATTCTGTGAAGTCGAAAGGGTGAAACGGGAGGGACGGCTGGCACCATTCAGGACGCTCGATGGAGGTTCGAGAACGCGAGGTCGTCAGTCCAAACGGCGACGATTGTCGCTTCGCGTGGCGCCGGCTACGCTGAGGAACTGATACGATTACCAAGACGTAGTTTCGTTTCTAATAAATAGGAATTATTCATGAGACGCCTGAGGCATTGATGTTTCTCTCCTGTCACTAGCGAAACACATGCTTTCCCAACGATCTAAACGAGAGGCATCTATTACGACAGAGCCACAACCTCGCACCGTCCATCAGGTACCGGCCTTTCAGGCATCTGCTGGCTCGATGTGGCGAGCCATGGCATTCTTGCATTCATAAAACAAATTGCAGAACTCATTTCTTGAGATCTCCGCTCCGCCCTACGGGGAAAACGGGGATGGAGGGGGGGGCTGACGGGTGAAAGTAGTGTTGGGCTGGCGGGGCGGGGGAGGAAGATGGGGGAGGTTGGGTGGGGGTAATGGGGAATCTCCAGCTGGAGTGGGGAAGGTCGGATTCACCCAAGAAATCGGGGGATGATGGCTGGAAGGTACCTTGGAATGAAGGTTGGGTTTCGGTTCGGTCTTTGTGGTTTCTAGTCGGTTCTGAGGGGCTGACGAGTCAAAGGTCACTACAGCGAGGGGAACCGCTGCTCGGTGATGGCTTTTTGCTTGTTGGCCCAGAAAATGACGGTGCAGCTGTGGTTGTGTAGCACCCCCTGGCCCTCGGCACGTAAAGTGGACACAATAAATCGCCAGTCCCTCAAAAAAGACACTACAGAACTAATAAATACTAATTCGGAGAGGTGTACTAACTCTCTCTTTCCATACCCGTTATTATTACTGCAGAAGGATACAAAACCAAAATCCAAACAATGACCAATCACATTTCTCGATATTTCCCTTCAACCTCACATTTCGTCGGGACCCGCGAGTCCTGATCGTACAGAACCGATACCTTGGGCTCGTCCTTCCTTCCTCCTGGAACTGCTCATCAAATTTGCAAACGAAATTCACCTGACGTTGCCTTGCGGTAGTGTCCGTGCATTCGTGTTCGTTCCATGACTATTTGATCGTGCACTCGCGCAAACATACGTTCGCAGCACATGAAAGCACCAGCAGCTACTGTATTTCGTTCTTGCCGCAGCAGCTGAATCTCAAAGTACTATCTGGAGTGATACGGAATCCGCTTTGCACGCTGCTCCAGTACAAGTGCGAGAGGTAGCATCGTCGTGTTGCTAACATGGGAGCAGTCGAGTCCATTCTAGTCGTCTCTGATTCCGACGAGGAGGGCGACGAGGGACAACAGGGTAACCAGCAAAGGCGACGAGAGCGACAGCGTCGCAAGGCGCAGGGAGGGGATGCAGGCTCCGCGGAAATAACGAGTCTAGAGCGTCAGGCGGAGCAGCAAGGGCGGAAGAACCAAGCGGAAGGAGCGCGTGACGGCAAGCGGGGCGGTCCTCCAGGGGGGAACAGCCTTGCGAGAAGTTATAGCGTTGACTCCGTTGACTCTGTTGACTCGCTTGACCGCGACGAATCTCTCTGCTCGCCCCGCTCCGTTGACTCCCTTGACCTTGCCTCCCCTCGTTCCGTTGACCCGGCGGAACCGTACGATTCTCCTAGTCTCCCCGTCTCCACCCATCCCGGTGCGCGCAAGTCCAAGGCGCACCACAGGCGGAAGGGTTCACGCGGATCGTCGCGCCTCAGCAGGTCCACTTCCGCCACTTCCCCCGACGGCCGCATCGCTCCCAACGCTGACGTGGCCGCCGCAACGAGCGGGAATGGACACGTCACCGCTGCAGCGCTGGCAGCCGCGCACGCCAAGTCAGCTGGAGAATTATCATTGGGAAAAGACGGAGCGCTGCGAGAAAGAAGGAGCATGGGAGGAGGATTGGGTATGGGGGGTCTCGGGGAAGTGGGCGGAGGGATGGAGAGGGAGAGGGGAATGTTAGCGGGCGGGGGAGCAGCATTACCACCTGTGAAACTGCCTGGGCCCGGTGGGGGACGCGTGGGTATAGGGGGAAGGAGTGGGGGAGGCGGGGGGAATGAGGTGGGGGGAAGCATAGGCGCAGGCGTGGGGGCGCATTGGGTTGTTCTGGGCAGCAGAGAAATCACTGAAGCTGCTTCCGTGGCTCCATTCCAAACCTCCGGCGCTGCTATGGCGGCTGCTGAGGCTGCCTCCGAGGCTGCTGCCGAAGCTGCAGCCTCGTTGCAACCAGGGTCCCCTGTAAGGCTGCAGCGTGTGTTGGCTGCTGTGTCGCGCGCATTAGATAGGGCCAGTGAGGAGGCGGCAGCAGGGAGGGAGGGTGGTGCAGAGGTACAGGTGAGTGATGCTGAGGCGACTCAAGTGCTGGCTGCTGTGTCAGCGACTCAAAAAGAGGGAGACGGGTCACGTGCGCAAGATAGAGGCAGTGAGGAGGCAACAGCCGAGAGGGATGATGGTGTGGAGGGAGAGGTGAATGTTGAGGCGACTGATAAGTCACCCCGACCGCTGGTTGCTGCTTCAGGTGCACCAGACAGTGAGAGTGAGGCGGCTGCAGAGACGGGAGGGTTTGCGGAGGGAGAAGCGGCAGCAGGGAAAAAGGCCACTGCGGAGGTAGCAACAGCGGCAGGGATAGATGAGCCTGCAACGAACGAAGCAGTTGCAGGGAAAGAGGTTTCTGCAGAGGGTGCAGCGGTTGCAGGAGCAGCAGGGGTGGCAACTAGGGTAGCAGCACAGTTGGCAACAGCAGTGGTTGCAGAGGGGCCAGAAGGCACACTGGGGTTGGATGAAGCAGGTGAGGAGGAGGAGGATGAGGGTGACGGTACTGCTGTGGGTGGGCAAGAAGCACGCGCAGAGACAGCTTCTGAGAGGCCTCAAACGGACGGTGGTATGCATGCAGAGGCGGGTGTGAGGGAGGAGGTGGCATTGGGAGTGCAGGACGACGGGCTGGTAGGGAACGTGGGTGAGGCGGGTGGGAGGGGTGTGGTTGCAGGAGATGCGGGTGACAGGGGTGAGGAGAGTGAGGAGGGTGAAGGGGATGCGGGGGGTGCGGGTGAGTTGAGTGAGGGACATGAGTTGGTGGGGATAGAAGGATCCGCTGATTTTTCTGGGGAGGGCTTTAAGGGGAGCGTTGTGGCTGTTGGTGTGGAGGAGAGCGGGTGGGACTCTGATAGTGAGTTCGGCACTCCGGAGCTGCTCTCCCCTACTGGCAGCATGAGTAGGGGCAGCGCGGACAGGGACAACGTGGGTGGTAGCAGCATGGGTAGTGGCAGCAGTGCCACGTGTCCACCTGCTGCCACATCTCTTAGTAACGCCGTGACGAGTGCAGAAGCTGATGCTCCCGTTGCAGCTCTTGCTGCTGATGCTGCTGCTGATTTTGATGCTGATGCTGCTGCTGCTGCTACTCCAACTGCTGCTGCTACTGATGCGTCTGGTTCTGCCCCGAAAATTGTAGTGAACAATGCCGCTGCTGCTGCAGAGGCAGAGAGAGCAGCATCCGGGCAGACTCTAGCAGCACAAGTGGCACCGCTGGTAACACGCGAGGCAGCAGGCGGAGAAACGGAGGAACAAGGAGCAGCAGCACCTGTTGACGCAGCAGCAGCACCTGTTGACGCAGCAGCAGCACCTGTTGACGCAGCAGCAGCAGCAGCAGCAGCAGCAGCAGCAGCAGTAGAAGCAGCAAGGGCAGCAGCAGAGGCAGCAGCACAGGCAAACGCAGACTTAGCAGCAGAAGCAGATGAAGCAAGAGCAGCAAGCACAGAGCAGTCCTCTCCCATTGCAGCCTCCCTGCTTCCCCTCTCCCCACCAACATGCGCCTGGCTCTCCCCCATGCTGGCTGCCGGCAGCAGTGGCATCAGCATCGAGTTCCACATCATCAGGTGATTCTTCAGGTGATGCTTTAGGTGATTCTTCAGGTGATGCTTCAGGTGATTATTCAGGTGATCATTCAGGTGATCATTCAGGTGATCATTCAGGTGATCATTCAGGTGATCATTCAGGTGATCATTCAGGTGATCATTCAGGTGATCATTCAGGTGATCATTCAGGTGATCATTCAGGTGATCATTCAGGTGATCATTCAGGTGATCATTCAGGTGATCATTCAGGTGATGGTTCGGGTGATGCTTCAGATGAATTGCACCACGTGATGCTTCAGGTAAATATTCTCGAGTGATTGCGTCAAGTAACTCGCATGTCGATCCCCGCATGATCAACCCAGTCCTTCTGTTCTGTGTACTCCTCTACCCGCGCCCCTCTCCCCTCCTTGCCTCAACCCCAGGCACGGGGAGTCAACCCAGTCACCGGCCCTCACAGCTGGTCGCTCCCCAGCTGCCCGTCTCACACCAGCGGGGTGCCAGCAAGCCATGTCTCTCTGGGGGACCTTCCTGCAGGATTTCAGTTCATTCTTTTCGTAGAATCCCCCTTCCTTCCTTCCCATCTCCCCTACTCATCAATCAACCCCAGGCACCGGGAGGGAGTCAGCCGAGTTGCCTGCCCTCGTTGCCGCTCTCACCCCCACGGGGTGCCAGCAAGCCGTGGCTCTGAATACCTTTCTGCGGAATGTATGTCAACCATTCCTTCAGATACCCACCCCTCCCTCCCATCTCCCCTAACCCCCCACCCCAGGCACGGGGAGTCAACACAATCGCCTGCCCTCATAGCTGGTCGATCCCCAGCTGCCCTTCTCACACCAGCGGGGTGCCAGCAAGCCGTGGCTCTGGGGACCTTTCTGCGCCGCTACCTGCGGCTCCAGTGGGATGAGGTGCACTGCTCGCCCATCCCCCGTGCCACACACACTGCACGACTTGTCTGCCAGGTGAAACCTCTCACTCACTCACACTCCCTCCACCTGTCAGCAAGTCGTGGCTCTGGGCACCTTTCTGCGCCGCTACCTTGGGCTTCAGTGGGACGAGGTGTTCTGCTCGCCCATCCCTCGTGCCACACACACTGCTCAACTCGTCTGCCAGGTAAAAGCATTTCCTTGTCAGCCTTTTCTCTCACACATTCACACTCGCACTCGCGCACCTACTCGCCCCTGCGGGCTGCCAGCAAGCCGTGGCTCTGGGCACCTTCCTGCGCCGCTACCTTGGCCTCCAATGGGACGAGGTGTTCTGCTCGCCCATCCCCCGTGCAAGAAACACCGCCCACCTCGTCTGCCAGGTACAAACCCAATACCACTACATTGTTAGCCGTGTATCTGAGAGCCTTTCTGCGCCGCTACCTGTGCCTCCAGTGGGACGAGGTGCACCGCCCACCTCGTCTGCCAGGTACAAGCCCCCTCTCACTCCCTCCCACACTCACTCTCTCACACTCATTCTCTCACACTTACTCTCTCACTCCCTCCCATTCAAACTCGCTCGCTTACTCACACTCACTCAGTCGGTCTTGCCCCCTTTGGAAAGAAAAGCAGTTGTGCAGGAAGTTCCCAAAACAAAGGAGTTAATGCTCTTGATTCTTATGTCCCCATTCACCATCTCTCGTCAACCTACGAGCTGGGCCTCCCACCCAACCGCATACAGGAAGCACGTGAAGCTTCAGGAAATGAGTGCAGGCCGGCCACTGAGAACGAAAGCCCTCGTCCCTTCCAGAGCCGGCCAAAGCTTTCTTCGTCCCTTCCCCCTTCCCCCTTCCCCCTTCCCCCTTCCCCCTCGTCTCCCCGTTCACCCGCTCCCATCCCCCCAGGAGCTGGACTTCCCACCCAACCGCATACAGGAAGCCGCTGAGCTTCGGGAGATGAGTGCGGGGGACTGGGAGGGCATGCTGGTTTTCTAGGAACCACCACACAGCCTATTTCACTCTTTCTCCTGCTCCCATCCCCCCAGGAGCTGGGCTTTCCAGCCAACCGCATACAGGAATCTGCTGAGCTTCAGGAAATGAGTGCGGGGGACTGGGAGGGGAAGCCCCGGGCAGAATTCTTTTCTTCTGACGCTGCCCTGGCGTGGATGACAGCCTCACAGCCGGACTTTTGCTACCCGGGCGGCGAATCCCAGCGCCAGGTCAGCTTTGATATCAACTGGTTGGTACACTGTAGGGTTCTGATTTGTTAAAAAAGGACTGGAATTGGTGAATTCACTTATGGTTCTGATTCAACGTATAAAATAGTAGAAGCTGGTGGGTGCAGTTATGACAGTGGCTAGCTGCATACGGGATCCACTGTAGATTTTATACGGGGTACAGGCGCTGTTGCTTGGTTGGGCATGGGGGCTACATTCTGTCTGTTGCTGCAGGTGGAGAGCCCTTCTGATGAGTTCTCCCCATGCCCTCTTGGTGCCCTTGGCTCTTGGTGCAGGTGGAATATCGAATGGTGAGCTTCCTGAATCGCCTTGCCACCAGCCATGCCTCCCGACTCATGGCAGCCAAATCCAGTGGTTCAGCTGAAGATGAAAGCAGCAAGGGCACCGCCAAGTACCGCATTGGCATATTCTCGCATTGCACGGCGATTAAATGCCTGTTGCGGGGTTTAATGGGGTCGAGCCCTCACATGACCCACAAAATAGTAGTGGATCACACTTCAGTGAGTACGGTGACCTTCTCGCCGGCAACGGGTTGGAGTCTAGTACGTGTGAATGATGTTTCTCACTTGCTCGTAGCACAGGGGCCTATAGCCCCTTAGTGACATGACATTACTGTTTGGGTTGGCGCTGGGTGTTACTACCTCTAAATGTTTTGTGAGCCAACATGCCACTTCGCAAGCTAGTGCAATGCAGCACGTACTGACTCGGCAAAGACAGTACGAGCAAGCCTCGTCAGGAGATGAGCGGAGGAGCATGGATGTGATGACCTGGGAAACACACGTACGCTGTCCGCTCTCGAGAGTAGTTCGCCAAAACGCACCCAAGTCTCAAGGTACGTTCTCAATTGCTACGGTACTTCACCACGTCGTTTTTTTGTGCTGAAACTGATTGACCATAAAAGCATGTATCGGCTAGCTCTTGGCAGTCCAATTTTGTGACTTACCGTGATATATGCCATTGCATGAATGTAGATATTGGAATGATACTACATATAGGTGTTTAATCTAAATGGCTGTAGTGTATCCTCATTATTTTTTTTCTTCATTACTATTTCAAGGTTAGTTTGCCTAGTGTTTAGTTCATCCAACGCACTAACAGCAGTTTGCTTCTCTCGACTCTGTAGAAGTCGACGAAGCGCTAACGTCTTGACTGAAACTGAGGTGTGCCACACACGCCTTACCTGAGAAGGTCGTGCGCGGCACCACACACCCTGCTTTTCCAGACCACATCTTGAGGTACGTGTTCACCGATGACAGCCTCCGGCATGTTTGAACGGCCAAGATCTCGCCTCTGTCCGACTAGACGAGTTCCGCAGGCGGGTTTGCAACTTTGCAGCTCGTTGATTATCACCACCGACCTATACAAGGGGGCCGCAGCTTCCGGACTAAGCCTCTCCGCGTACGCCTCAAGCCAATCCCTTACCGCGCACCCCCCCTCACTCCCCTTGACCCTGTTACTTGTCCAATAGAAATAGAGAAAAGTAACGCGACGCCGTCACTCCCCTTGCCCAACCATATCGCGGTTCGACGATGCCGGATGAATTCGCGGTTAGGGAGTGCGCCCTGGGGAATTGACTTCAACCCAAACAGCAATTTCGCGACCATTTCCCACGTGCCTGCGCCCTAGTCGCAGGTTTCGCAAAAGGGTTACCGTCGTAGATACCAATGAGATTTGTTCGACTTTTGTTCGTCGCCGTGTTTCAAAGCCCCCTGAACGCTGTAAATTCCGACCACGGATTCCCCTCCTACCATCTCATCTCATCGCGTTCCTCCCCCCGTTTCCCCCCTTCCACCCGAATTCGCCAAGCTACAAAATCCCCCGCCTGTGAATTCCAAACACAACAAATTCCTGTTTCAACCATTCTTCAGCTCGAGTTTCCTTCCTTGCGAGTCAGGACTTTCCTCACTTGCATGACCCATTTCGACTGAGTTTGTCTTTTACGAACGTCACGATGGGCACGGGTACCGTGCTCGCCAGATTCGGCCTCAAATGGCTCACAATCGCGGTGGCCGTGACTCTCGCGTCCGTCGCCGCACTCCACGCCATCGACAACTTCTACGTCGTCCGTCACCCGCCCGTCTGCGCCGCGTCCGCCAACCGCGAAGTCTGCGTCTCGGAATACCGCATCGCGCGCCGCTCCCTCGGCGCGGTGCCCGCGTCGACACAGCAGGTGACGGCGGCGATGATCGAGTCGGCGCGCGCGAAGGTGGCGGCGGGACTGGAGCTGGTGAAGGAGATTCAGACAGCCAACGCGGGCCGCAGTGTGGAGGTCGACGCTGTTAGCGACGACTGTGTGACCCAGGTACGCGTCAGTGATGCTGCGTGCACCGCCCCGCACCATCCACACCTCCCCCAGCTTCTGGTTTTCTCGAATTCCAACCGTATTCATTCACCGAATGATTTTAATTACATATATAAAAAAACAAAATCAATCTTTATCTTATTTTATCAACGTGTGTTTCTGTGGCGGCAGGTGAGTGCGGCGCTGGCGCAGCTCGAAAGTCTTCCTCCGCGATCAGCGCCGGCAGCAACGTGATAGACCTGCCGTACTGGCTGCAGACGGCGCAGACGCAACTCTCCAACTGCCTCTCGGCGTACCGCGAATTGGCGCCTTCCGCGCTCTCCACCCCCACGGGCGTGTACCTCGCGTCGCAGGGCGCGTTGACCAAGTCAACGCTCGTCGCCGCCGTCGACCTCACGTCGCAAGCCGCCGCCGCGGCGCGCTCGTCGCGCGGCCGCCAGGCGCTGGAGAATGGTGGCGAGAGCAACGGGCACCCCGAGTGGCTGGAGGCGGGGCTTTACGAACAGCTCAAGGAGCTTCAGGCGCACATGCAGGGAGACCACGACGGCGCGCAGGAGTGGGCGGGGAAGCGCCGCGGGCTGCTCGGGCTCCCCGCGCCCGCGGAGATCCGCCGGCGGGAGTTGAGAATCAAGGGGCACCACGCCGATCTCTGGGATAACGGGCGGAGGAAGGGCGGACATCCCAAAGGCGTCGGCGGGCACAAGCAGCTATGGAAGAACGGGAAGAAGAAGGGGGGAAATCATGCCCCCGGTATCGGCGGGCACGCGCACCTGTGGAACAACGGCAAGAAGGTCGGCGGAAACCACAAAAAGGGGGTCGGGCACCACCCGGGTAAGGGGAAGAACCGCAAGCCCGGAGGAGGCGGAAGCGGAAGCGGCGGCGGCGGCGGCGGCGGCGGCAGCGGCGGCGTATCCAGCGGGTCGTACACCCCAAGCTTGAAGCCCGACGCGGTGGTGGGCAGCGGGGAGCAGTACTCGAGCGTGAAATCCGCCGTGAGCGCCGCTCCCGCTAAGGGCCGCTTCGTTATCTACATAAAGGCAGGAACATACGACGAAGTGGTGCAATTCGATAACGAGGGGATCATCTTCGTGGGAGACGGGCCGGACCGGACGATAATCACGGGCAGCAAGAGCATGGGCGGCGGGTCGGGGACGACGTTCAAGTCGGCGACCGTTGGGGCGAACCGCGACAATTTCGTGGCGCTGGGCGTGAAGTTTGTGAACACGGCGGGGCGCGAGAACGAACAGGCGGTGTCGATGCGCGCGAGTGGGGACGCTTCCGCCTTCTTCGAATGCGCGTTCGAGGGCTTCCAGGTCAGTGGTGAAACCATGAGGTTTCTGCTTCGTGCAGACTTTTGTGAGCCATGAGTTGGTCTCATGTGCCTACATGGCTTGCAGGCATCTCGTACTACAATCTCATGCCCTGCATTCTTCCCTATCCCCTCTCCCACCCATCAGGACACACTCTACGTGGATGCGGGGAGGCAGTACTACAAGAACTGCTACGTGGGCGGAACCATCGACTTCATATTCGGCGACGCAGCAGTGGTTCTCGACAACATCGACATCCGCCTCCACACGAGCCACTCCTTCGTCACCATCACCGCGTCGGGCCGCGACACCAACGGGCCCACGGGGATTGTGATCCGCAACTCCAAGATCAGCGCGGATCCTGGCGTTACAGATGTGTACCTGGGGCGGCCGTGGAAGGATTGTGCGCGCGTGGTTTATGTCGACACGTACATGCCTGCTGTGAGTTGACTGGCATGAGAGGTTGCTCATCATCGAACCACGTACGCTCTTTCCCTTCCCCACGGGCATTGCCTCCTCTGATAATTTGCGTGCAATGCCATACCTTTTTGCTTCTCCCCTTGGATACATCAGGAGCTCAATGCGGACGGGTGGAGCACGTGGGGAGGGGACACGCGCGGCAGCTGTGTGTACTATGCAGAGAAGGGCAGCACGGGGCCGGGTGCTCGCACCTCGCGAGCATCGTGGGTGCACCCTGGGATCATCTCGGACGCCTCTCAGTTTGAACCCGAGCCGTTTGTTGAACTGAGCTCCTGGCTCGATGTTGCGGGGAAGAATCCCAAGTGGTGATTGTTTAGGCGGTTGTAGGGACGGCTGGATAATGTTTGTTTAGTGGTGACAATGGAAGTTGTTGTGGCAATAAGTGTATGTATGTATGGTTTGATGTGAATGATAAAGCACACTACCAAACCCGTGCCTTGAAACAAGGGGAGGCGTGCAAACGCAAGACAAGTTAAACGTGTTAGTGAAGAGAGTGGGCTTGTTGTTTCTTGCCTTTTGTCAAAATCAGCGGAAGATCATGGCTGGCTTTGCTAGAAGCATTGTTAATTGACGGCACATGCGCTGTTTCACAGGCAAGTTTTTCTGCAAAACCCTAGCCTCACAGACCTTTGTTTTCCGCTTAAATAAAACAAGAATGCATGCTGG